CTTCTCCAGGTCACTTGAGACCATTGGGTAAATACGATCTGTGCTGCGTATTTGTGCTCTTCCAGGTGGAATTTGGCATGGTTTGATACTAGAATTGTGTTTTTCTCCACACATGGAAGAAACACAGCTATGATTAGAGGAAGATGTGTATCTGCCAGATGAAGAGCTTTGTGCATGTTGTCTTCTTCAAAGAGCCCTCTTTCTAAGAATTCCCTTCCTCATTTGTCAGTGTGATTATATAATCACATTAACCTTCAAATCATGCTAAAAAGCCGGTAATCCTGTAACTACAAAACCAAGGAATTCCTTTATGTGAATAGAACACTTCAAAGACTTGAAACATCATCACACTGATATCTGAAACCAGTATTAGTTTCCATTTACAACAATTACAAACTTAAAGGTGCACAAGGAAAACTCACTTAACGCTTGAATGCCATGCCAAGCTTGGTTATTTTTATGGTGGAATTATTGCACATTGGTTCTATTTTCTGAGGTATAGTTAAAGCATTTTTTATTTTATACATACTGAATACAATGCCTGCTAATTCAGATACTAAAATTATTAAGATATTCAGATAGTAACTTGTAACAATTTTCAGAGCTCCTAGTTTCATGTTGTGGTGCTGCCAAAAGGGCTGCAGTGCCCTTCCTCTGTCCCAGACACTAATTCTTCCTGCTTTTTCTGTGATGCAGCAATGAAATGAATTGGATCAGACAACTGACCAGCTAAAATCAAGCCAGAAAAAAAGAAATTCATTTCCACCAGTCAGTTCTCAGGTCTGGCTCACTTCATTTGGGCTAGTTTTGGCAAAGGGAAAAGTGATGTCAGAACAAGGAGAGCTGACTCCCTCTCCATCACAACATATATTTGCTAGACTGGTTTGATAGTGAAACCATAGAGAAAGAAGTTTACACGTGCATACGCCTCTCAGTCCTTTGCTATTTTAAGGCTAGGTGAAGCTCCCATTGGAGTCTCTGCCTGCTTTCTCCCTTGAATTTTGGATGAAGCAGTTGTTGGTTCCTAAAATGTATTATCTGAGTCCATGGCTGTAGTTCTGTGAATTTTATATGACCCCTTTTTAGGTAATGTAAGTGCTTCCTAATCCTTCTATTCCAATGACCCATATTTTCTTCCTGTTTCAGAAATGGACATGCAAGCAAGGGAGACTAATTTAATTTACTAAAGTTTGCAAAAGAGAAGAGAAATTGAATCTAGTTTTGTGAGTCCAAAACTAAGCTAATACCCTCACTTGTGAATCCAGCTTATATCTAGATAGGGCCTGTTTATTTGTCCTTGATTGTGACTCTTCTTCATTTCACAAACATTTGTCCAATGACACAATTCTAAAGCACATCAGTAAAAATCTCCACAAGTTGCTGACTGAGATTTCTAACATTATAGGGTGAATTTCTAAAAGTTGACCTCAGCGTTCCTGCCCTGCTAGAATTGTACCTGCAGTTTATCTCAAAGCCTACATTTTCAGACTAAATGTAATTTGAATCCCAAGTTGCTTTACTGTTTTTTCTGTACTACCATTAAGTGTATGGGGCCTGGGAAGACAGATAGATCTTATGTCAATCAGATGTTAAATGCAGCTTAATCTCATTATGTCACAGGCAATTAGAGTTTCCAAAAGTTGTAGTTTACATTTAGAAATCTATAATGAAATCTAAAAAAGGAATAACAAATTAACACTTCCTAATGTGCAATGGGTAACGATTTATGCAACTGTCTGTATTATTGTGCACAAGTTTATGAGAATACACTTGCTCACGCATACATACTTGCACTGTTTTCTACACAAAAACTCTTCTGAAGTTGATATGTGTTTTCCATATAATAATAAATTTGGTTTTATTTGAACTTTCAGTCGACGCTGGCGTCGCTGGAATCGATTTAATCGAAGAAAATGTAGAGCTGCAGTAAAATCTGTCACATTTTATTGGCTTGTTATTGTCTTGGTCTTTCTGAACACATTAACTATCTCATCGGAGCATTATAATCAACCTGACTGGCTGACCCAGATCCAAGGTACAATCAAAAATCATCTGTCCTGTTTTTACTTTGGATACATGCATTCTAACAGTGACTACTTGTGTCCTTTGCCATTTTGTTGTTTGCTTTCCTGAAGGATTTTCAGCCCAGCCAAAGGGAGATACAAGAAATGCCTTTATCTATTTGATCTGCAAAATTGTAACACAGCTTGATGGCATACCAGCAAAAACCTGACAATACTGAATTGTAAATACCTGTACTTTTATTGTTAAAACATGCTGGAAAGACAGGGAAGGAAGTGGTAACTGGCACAGCAGAACGTACTGTGGGCTGTGTTGCTTAAGTTAGCATGGTCTCAGCCTGTGAGCTGAGCAGCCATGAGCTGCACAAGGGATTGGGAAATGATAAGTTTATAGGTGGCAGGAAGCTTTTCATCCTTGTCTAACCTTTGCCGCTTTGGCATCAAATAGAGTCCAATATTAAAAAAACAGTACTTCCTTCTTAGGCAAAGGCCTGCAGATTAATATAGCAAGTATAGTAACATTAAAATTAAAGTGGCATCTATGAGACAATTCAAGAATGTCTGTCTTTTTTTTTTTTGTTTTAATATTTTGTTCCAGATATCGCAAATAAAGTTCTTCTGGCTTTATTCACCTGTGAAATGTTAGTAAAGATGTACAGCTTGGGCCTACAAGCTTATTTTGTTTCTCTATTTAACCGCTTTGATTGCTTCGTTGTTTGTGGTGGCATTGTTGAAACCATTTTGGTGGAGTTGGAAATTATGTCGCCCCTTGGAATTTCAGTGTTTCGCTGTGTTCGTCTCCTGCGTATTTTTAAAGTAACAAGGTAAGATCAAGTAATACTGCTAACTTTAGGGATAGCTGAAGGGTGATCAGCAATTCTTTTGTAATACTTCATCATGCGCTGCTCTTTTACTGTTTTGTTTGGGGTTTTTTTGGTGTGTGTTAACACACGCATTTTAATTTATAGGCACTGGGCATCCCTGAGCAACTTGGTAGCATCCTTGTTAAACTCAATGAAGTCCATTGCTTCACTGTTGCTTCTGCTTTTCCTCTTCATCATAATCTTCTCGTTGCTTGGAATGCAGCTGTTTGGAGGCAAATTTAATTTTGATGAAACTCAAACAAAACGGAGCACCTTCGATAATTTTCCACAAGCTCTTTTAACTGTATTCCAGGTAACTTCCTTTCATCCCGTATGAAACATTTTACCTTTTTAAACAAAACTGTTTAAGTGATCATGTTGTCTGAAAAAAAAAAACCAACCACAAATACTATTTATTCAGTTTACTTTAAGTAGCATCCTGCTCATGAAATTCAGTACTCTGGTAAAACTGTACCATTTATACCATTTGTTTCATGTCTTATTTGATCTATCTATGCAACATAGCTATCATATTACTTCACAAAATTAAACCTCCTTTGTCCATCAAATACATGACTAGAAAAAGAGGTGGAATGTTATTTTTATTTTAATGAAATTGTATTCTTTAACTTCATTAGCTATATAAAAGGTCACCTATTCCTAAGCTGGAAGAAATGAGAAGCATGTTAGAGTGCATATTTACATATAGGTCATGCCACTTACTATGATATAAAAATAAGTATGAATTTCTTTAAAGAGACACTGTTGTCAGGTTTATGAAAATTTTAAAGCAACATGCCTGTTACATGTGAATAGATAGGGTCATGCAGTTTACTTTTCACTATTTTATAATTATTTTTTTATTTTTCCTAATTCGGGTACTGGAATCAGGCTAATTGGCTTAATCTTTGTAGTCATTTTCATATTCAGCTTTGCACATTACCACAATGTTTGGTTTTAGACGTTGTAGGTAAGTGCTTAAAGCTCACCCTGCAAGACCCAACATTGCCAGCTTCCTATCTCTTTGATAGATGCTTCATCTGGTGGCTGCCCAAAGCAAGCAAAAACTGTTTCCATGTAATTTTAACATAGGGAAATTTTAATGAACCATTTCCTTAAGAGGAAAAATGTTCACGTTTGACCTGACAATATCCCTTGAAAAAACTAAGGCTGCACTTTCAAACTCAGCTGAGTTGGATTATTTTTTTTTTCCAGATTTTGGGCTGTCTCATTTTGAAAGGAATGAGGCTTCCTTTAGTTTAGAATACACTCAGAAGCAATTGGCCTATTAGGTGCTCAACAACTATGCAATTCAACTTCATAAGTTTACCTCTTCGAATTTCTGAAATTGGCATGCATATCATATTCTTGAACAACCATTTTAATTACTTGGAAGGAGAGTCAGTATTACATGTTTTCTCAGGATAGAACCAATTATTTTGAATATGTTACCTAGAAGTATATGAAGTGTCCCTATAGCCTGTGTTTAATACTCAGAATTTTTGTAGTAGAAGAAAAATGTGGACTTGCATCACTGTAAGCTATCCTTTTAACTAATCAACAGATTTCTGTAAAATTATTTTAGGCTTTGGTGAAATTATGTGAAACAATAGTCAATAAGAAAATTGTGTAATTCTGCCACAGCACTAAAAGCTATAGCAGTAGTATATAATTTATGGGAAGGTGGCCAGTCACCATTAAATTGAAAATGGGTATGCCAGTTCACAGGACTAACAAATGGCATGCACTAGAAAAGATTTGTGGCCACTACTAAAAAAAACCAAAACAAACATACAAACAAACCACACACAAAAACCCCCAAAACAAAACCAAAACAAACCTTGAAACATACACTAATTTGATTTTTCAATGTTGAGTTACTAATACTCTATCTGCTTTCTAGATTCTAACAGGTGAAGACTGGAATGCTGTTATGTATGATGGCATAATGGCATATGGTGGCCCATCATCCTCAGGCATGATAGTATGCATATATTTCATTATCCTCTTCATCTGTGGTAACTGTATCCTTTGCACTTGTGGGAAACATCTCCAGATGGGGCTGTGTGCCGGGGACATATGCAAAATTTCTCTAGGAGGGAGGAGGAAATGGACATACAAGCACTTTCTGCTTGTGCTAGGTCCATTAAATAGACTTTTCTTTGTATACCTGTTCTTTAATGAATGAGACTCCAGTGATCTCTGAGTCCATCTCCAGACACCACAATGGCAGAAAACAGAGAATTTTTTCTTTCTTCCCTCTGTGAGAAAACAGCCCTATTCTACCTGCTTGTCTCTGTTAGTCATCTCTCCCTCTGAAAGTGTGCAGATGTAGTCTGATCTCTATGGCAGCAATTTCCTGTTCATCCTTCTGATGCTTGATATAGCCCTGTTAATTCTGACACACACTGACAGTGGAGCCAGTGATCTGCTGTATAGTACAGGGACCAGATGAGAAAGGTCTGCATGGAGAAACGTTGAGTCAGGGTTAAGTCTGCTGAAGCATTACCCTTCCTTGCCTTCAGTGGAAATAGTTCCTTGGCCCCATGTAGCATCAAAAGCTAATGTCTTTCTCAGAAGTTCTTGAAAGGTCAGGAGCTGATAAAAGGACAAGACCATCCTATTTTCTGTGGTACTTCTGTCAATATATGTACTTACTTGGTATGGACTGAAGTACGGAATTTTATATAGGCTGTTGTAGACACAGAAGTTAGTCCATTATAAAAATAAATTTTTCAGAATGCCTGAATGTTTATAGACATTGTTTCATATTTGAAACTTGCTCAGGTTAGCATGAAGTAGAATTTAATTTCTTTTTGAAAATATGTCAAGTATTCTGCCATTTTAAAATCAGTGACCCTAATGGATCTCTGCTCATTTTACACCCACCATTAATCTAGTCCATTAAATGAGTATTATTTGCACCACATGCCAGCATCAGAAATCTCTGTGCTGTAGGTTGGGAACATGTGTTTTATATCTCTGACATTGACAGCATTTATGTTGGTAATAAACCAAACAAGTATGGTAAGGCATAATGTCCTTAAAATGATTTGAAATAGATATCTTGCTAAACGTCTTCTTGGCCATTGCTGTGGATAACTTGGCAGATGCTGAAAGTCTAAATACAGCTCAGAAAGAAGAAGCAGAAGAAAAGGAAAGGAAAAAGAATGCAAGGTAAAATAGCATGGGCATGTTGATTAAGCAGCAGGAGGAGGAGGGTACTGAATTCTTTCATACGCATTTTCTTTATTTTAATGTCTTTAACATCTTTAAAATTTATTTGACTCAGGAAAAAATATGAAAGAGCTTACCTGGATATTAAAACGAGACCAAATTAGTATGATTGTAGACAAAAGTTGGGTAGTAAATGGGAAAATGGGGTGAATTAAGGACGTAATGATAAGCCAACTGATATTTAAACACTGCAGTGGTAGGATTTATTGCACAATTAGGACAAGAATGTATCTGCTGTTGCCAGTGCACAACTCCCCGGGGAATCAGTTCTCTAAGCCTTATATAGACAAGAAGGAAAACTTCCTTTGAAATCAGTACAGGCCTATTGAAGTCAATGAAAGTTATTTGTATGAGTCTGAAGGCACAGTTTATCCCTTTTGAAAGGAGTGATGATCATGCATTGAATTTTTTAGGGATTAGCTTCTGGAATTATATTCAAAATCATAATCTTTTAAATGGATCATTGCATTCAAATGCAATAGACTTTACTGCTCTGACACCAGCTGGGCAAATAATTTTAACTATTTTACTGTATGGCTTTAAGTATACTCTCTTAAATTAACTATCCCATTCTATGAAAAGTTAAAATCTTCTGTCTTTACATGATATACTTTGTAACTGTTATTTTATTGTTTTATAGAAAAGAGAGTCTGGAAAATAAAAAAAGTGAGAAGTCAGAAGGTGACCAGAAGAAGCCCAAGGATAGTAAGGTGTTTATTCTAAAAATTGTTTTTTCTAAGAAGCAATTTTACTAATTTTGCTAGGGAGTACTTTTCAAGACTGTTGTGCATTGTACAATTTCCTTTATGAACCCATTTTAGAAATCCTTTTATGGACCCATCATACGTACATTTTTTCTAGTCAACAGAAACTTAATTCTCATTCTTTGCATCCTAACTGAATCTCTTAATCCAGAAAATCCTTTTGGTTTCAGGATATTCTGACAAGGGAAGCTCATAGAGCATGAAGTAGTTAATGTTAGATAAAATTGACATTATTTTAGAATCCTGGTAGCTATTTGCCTGGTAAGTCCACTAGAGAGATTAAGGAATGATAAACTCTTAGCAGAGCGTTCCAACTTTCTTGGTAATTTTTACCAAAGCCTGTTTGTTATAATCTCACTTTGATCTATGCAGGCAGAAGAATATGGATACTATAGAAAAAATAATATTTTAAAAGCACATATTAAACTTTCAGCTTTCCTCTGTTCTCAGTTACCTTGTTTCAGAAAACTCAAGACTAAGCATAGAGGTCACTTCCTTGCCTTCAGATGCTTATTTGGACTTTCTGTTGACTTTATACCCAAGCTATATTTAAATTTATTTTTTTCTTGTGCATCCCTTTCATTGCTGTAGGTAACAATTGCTGAATATGGAGAAGGAGAGGATGAGGATAAAGATCCCTATCCACCCTGTGATGTACCAGGTACGTTAATACTGGTCAGAAGACAAACAGGTTTGTTTGCCAAAATATCCTAAACTCGGGCTTGCTGAATACTGAATCAATTCCTTTGAAGACAGTGATGTTGTGCTCTGTTATCAGTGGATAAATGGGCCTGTAAGCTGCTAAGTATTATCTTTTCCTGCAGCTTCCTAGACAGTACAAACAGTATATAAGAGTTAATACTGTGAGCCTAAAGACTGCTGTGGTAATACTCTCTGCATGTGAGAGAAAATTGTAAGCTTTTCTGAAATGTTTGGCAAAAAAAGGACATTCCAAGGCTGAAGATGTTCAGATGTATTTTAATACAAGCCATGCTTTTATATTGTTGTGAACAAAGTCTCAGTGCTTTTTATTTTATAGTAAAAATGTGTTTAATTTAAAGTAGGTGAAGATGAAGAAGATGAGGAGGATGAACCAGAGGTACCAGCAGGCCCACGTCCCCGTAGAATATCAGAACTGAATATGAAGGAGAAGATAACACCAATCCCTGAAGGGAGTGCCTTCTTCATTTTCAGCAGCACCAATCCGTAAATAATAATCTTGAAAAATACTAGTTTAGGCCACCAAGGTTTAGCAGTGCACTGAATGAACAGGCTTCCTTCCAGTGAGCTTAGGGATAGAACTCCAGTATTTTCAATAGGAGAGAGACTGAATTTTCTTCTAAGGTGACTCAGTAAATGAAAAAAAAATTGATAAATATACTAGTTTGCTTCCCACTGTTGAAGATAATGTAATTTTGTACGTAGTCTGTCAAGTCTGCACATCTGAAAAGTATTGTTTAATCTTTACCAACTATTTAATATGTTAGTCACTGGATAGAAAAACTCTGACATAAGATCCAAGCATCTTCTACATAAGAAAGGATTCCTATAGAACCTTTATGGAGCAATGCAGGTGATGAAGGAGAAGAGAAAGTAAGAGAGTGATAATGAGAAAAGAAGGAGAAAGCATGTGTATATTCCTCCTGGGGTAAAAGCATTTTCCCAGATTCAAGCAAACATTGGCAATAAAGACAAATTATTTCTAAAATCAAAAGCAATAATAGTTGGATTTTGGGGGGAATTGGGATCTTTCAGTGTTCAGACTAACTCCAGAACTTTTGGTATCTTTTGCTTTGTATGCTGATGAAGAAAGCAAGCTTTGCTAGTCAGTAGAAGTCATTACTAATTGTTGGATGGAAGTGAACAAGTGAACTAAATTCATATCCTACAGACTGAAAATAGCTGTTATATTTATAAGTAGCAATTTCATGATCACTCTTAGACTGGAGTTTAAGGGTTATTTGTCATGGGAGAATGCTGTCTTCTCAGTGATAGAGGACATCACAAATTTAGAAGATGGGGTGATGATCAAGATACAACGTTCTGCGCTTATATCTTACTTGTTGAATGGGTTGTTTGAAGTTCTTCAGAATTTTCAGAGTAGAGAGCCATTTAAACTAGTAATTTTCAGAATATATATATGCCGAGTGCAAAAACATTAGATTTGTTTAACATATTAGATTGCTTTTGGCCTCAATGCTACGTGTTCTCAGGCCAAAATGGCCAACTTACTTAACTCAGAATATACTCAAATCATCTTCTCAATGATGGGAGAATAAATGTTCCCCAGGAATCCTCCGATTCCTCAGCAGAATTTAGACAACTGCAGTTTTAGTCAGTTATGCACCTGATCCTGACTTTTTGCCAATTTGATCATGTTCTACTCTACCAAGGTGCTTAATGGTTTTTAGAATAACTGTTTGCTTAGTTGCTCTAAGCATATGTACATTTCCACTTCATGTCCTGTGGCTGAAACTTAGCAGCTCTATAATCTTCAGCACTTACTTGTCCTGTAATTCTATAAGAAATTCTTCACAGAAGATTCTGATTTGGGCTGAGTCTCTAAGCAGCATACTGAGATCTGTAGCCTAAAGCCTCATCTCGCCAGATGAGTATTTTTGAGAGCCTTAATAAGAATCAAACCAAACTGGCGATCTGAAATGACTTATTATCTAGAATTGGTCCTGTTGACATTGGCCTCCGTAGGTACACAGTGGTACAAACATTGGAACTTGTAGTGGCATTCATAACCCATTGAAAACCAACAGGAGCTCAGAAATGTCTTGGGTTCCTTCACTAAGTGCATCTTCACTATAGGTGGATTGGGTTCTGAATTTATTTGCATTTTTAGAGATCAGGGCAATAGCTTCAGCATTCACACTGTGTTTAGCTGCTGATAGTTGCAGTGTTCTGTTACTGTTGGTGGAGCAACAGAAAACATGTTGTATATTAGCCATCTGCTGAATTCTGTTTGCACACATGGTATATTTTTGTATCTCTTCTTCAGAATTCGAGTGGGATGCCACAGACTCATCAATCATCACATCTTTACCAATCTCATCCTTGTCTTCATCATGCTGAGCAGTGTCTCCCTAGCAGCAGAAGATCCAATTCGCAGCCACTCTTTTCGAAATAATGTAAGCCCTTCACTTTTATCCCTGAAGATAAATATATCCTCACAGGGTATCAATCCTTTGGGACTAGTGTCTGATTTTTAATTTTCAAGTTAAGAACTTTTCCTTTTTCAAGCCATACATTTATGTTTGGGTTTTTTTTTTTTTTTTCTTCAGAAAAAAGAAATCTTTAAATACAACTAACTTGTATCAGTGGAATATCATAGGTAGTAGAACCATTTGTTACGTACACAATGTTATTCCTTTGTTAGGTGAATGGATCAGAATAAAATAATCTCAAGCTGAGCATAATCTTTATAATTTATTATATGTTGGGAATGGACTCTGACCTGTCCTATCTTCTCCTTCATTGACTCTGTTATATGGTCTTGGGGATCTCAGAGTATCACTCTGTTAGTGTGTGTATGGATTCATTACCTCTTTTTTCAAAGAAGTTGGTGTGGTCACACTGAATGACTTAGAATACAATACCACCACATCTGACCACAAGATCCTTGGATTCCTTATTCCTTCGTTAAATATACTTGAGGAAACAAAATATTTGTAAGAATATTAAATTCGGAAATTTCTCTATTATTCTGTAAAACTGTAGTGTATGCGGTGGATGAACAATGGTGTTTGCCTAAAACAAATTCCTGAATCCCCCATTCTGAGTTCATAAGTTCATAATATAGAAGTCCTCGCAGTTACTCAAATGGTTACTGTCAATTATTGGACAGAAACAAAAATAAGTCCACTATTGTGATCATGAATGCTTGTCTGACACTTGTTGCACTTGTAGTGGTGAAGCAAGCCTCTCATGTTATTGTGAGTTGTCCATGCTTTAGATGAGGTATGAAATAACTGGTGATGCAAATCGGTAATAGTCTGTGGGGCCTTTTGGGATACTTTGGCAGAACTTCCAGGTCTCTCCTGTCATAGATATGAATTGATCTGTAGAGATTGCCATGGAGTTAGAGAAACTCTTCCACCTCTTACAGGAAAGATGGCCAGTAGAGGATGTATACCGTAGCTCTTGCTAGTGTATATGCAGCTTCTGAAAGTCCTCTTCTGGCTGTTGGCATTCTCTGAACATTTTTTCAGTAACATTAGTGGAAACCAAAAAACTAAAACTTTCTTCAAAGGTAAAAGAGGTCAAAGAACAAAGACACTCTTCATGTACTATTCACTAGAGCTGTGTGCTTCCCATATCTATAAAACTGGACAAGTGCAGTCTTGTGAATAAATCACATTAATGGGTAAGAGAAAGATCTGGTGGGGAATACTGAGGTTGTTACTGTAGAAATGGCTAGAAGGGCTGATACTAGTTTTTCTAACTAGAGGAGTACTAGGAAAATGTAAGTGGAGATTGGTGGTAGCTGAGCGGATTATTCCTATTTGGCACATAGGTAAAATCTGTGAGTCATTTCAAGAAGGTGTTGCCCTCTTGTTGGACATAATCACAATGCACCAGACCTGTATATTTTTCTTGTTATTACCTTAAGTAATCATGTACCTTCAACCAGCCAGCTCAGCAGGGGAATGAAAATTTACAAACTGCAATGCCTTTAAATATTTTCCTTTAACTCTAGAATGAATTCCTTACTGATTAATCTTTGTTTACTAGCTTTAACATTTGCCTATTTTTTCAGCTACAGAAAGGGGCAGAAGGATGTGATCTTCAGCTGAACAAAGGGAAAAAATTATTTCCTTCTCTATGATCTAATAGGAATACTTTCTTTGTGTGTTGTTTATTTTATTTCTTCCCATTTCATTAGTTGCTGAACTGCAGGCAACACGTTTCTGTGCACAACAGCTCACTAGTCGGATTGCTGGATCCTCAAAACTATACTAGTGCCCTACTGCAATGAATGTTGGTAGCTGAATTAGGTGCTAGTGATACGGCCACCTTGAAAGGGTGAAATTTTGGTTGTACTGAAACATATGGCAGCTGTCCTGTCAACAGCTGTGATGTCAACACCACATCCACAGTCTTTTTTAAAAAGTTTATGTATCATTATGCAACTGTTGTGGGTTCTTTTCAATTTCCTGCAAATAAACCACTTCTATATTGGAAACATACTTAAAAATAAAGCTCTATCAGCTTTAACAGCTACTTTCTTCAGCCTTTAGCAAGGATACAATATCTTACACAAAGAATAGATACTTATTAAAAAATACTTGTCTTTTTTTTATTAACCAAAGTGAAAGCTGATAAAGTCTGAATTTAAAGAAAATGTTGCTTATTGGGTTCTCTTTAACCCTAATTCTTTAGGGGTGAAATCTGTTATCCAAACACAGTGGCATCTGATAAATTTTTAAGTAAATAAAAATGGTTGTACAATAGCTGGAATTTTAAACTGCTTTGTCTAAATTCCACTTCTACCTACTTAGATTAATTCAGATGTTGTTGTACATGTGGTCTAAATTGTAAAAATTTATTAATAGATGGATTTCTTACTGTGGCACATATTATACCTTGCAGATACTTGGTTACTTTGACTATGCTTTCACAGCCATCTTTACTGTTGAAATCCTGTTAAAGGTAATGCATTGTTAATTGATCCTTGTTAGCTCAAAAGCAGCTTTAGCAATAATGTTTGTAACTTTTTGTTTACCTTCCAGATCCTAGGGTATGCAGATTATGTCTTCACTAGTATGTTTACATTTGAGATCATTTTGAAGGTAACAGGTTTCTAAAGGAAGTTTGTTTAAAAGGATTTTCCTTGTGTGTCACCTGCCAAGAAAAGGCACTTGAAGTGTTCTTCGCCTTTTCTCTAAGCGATCAAAGCTAAACTGTTTTTTAAACCAGAGGAGTTTTTTATTTCACAGTTCCTCATAGTTTTGATTGGTTCTTTTTTACCATTGAGTGCATGAAGAAGCTGATGTTTTTATCATTACATCAATTTTATAATTCATTTTTTTTACCCTTTTTAAACTTGCAGTTGTCAGAAAAGGGAAAAATGATTCACTGCGCATGAGCTTTTCCTTCTCCTTGCTCTGGCATTTCCAAAAGAGATAATCAGTCTTTTAAGGAGGGAGCATGTAATTTCTCATTTCTTTTGCTGATCTATAGTCACAGAGCTAAAATAGTAGATAACTATTTTCTTGCAATAGGACTTGCAAGATATCTTGCATTTACCTATCTACCTATCAAGATACTTTGCATTAATCTTGGGCATACATTTAAATACACAGAAAGGCATAAAAATGCTTGCTTAAATGTATTACCCACGCATGAGTCAAAAATTGGCCTTTTAATGTATAGTTTGTGTACTGATTTTTAAAAATATCCACAGGGGTTACTCAGATTTTAAGTGTATGAGGCTTACTCTGGCAAAGAACCCATATAACTGAGGATTAGCTTCATTTAAATTAGGTTAGCATTTCAGAAAATGATGAACAAACAAAATTATTTTTGGAATTTGCAAAATAGTTTTTCAGATATTTATAAATTATTCCTAAAAGTTTAATGCTGTGTATATTCACCTTGAGTTTTTGGTTGAGTAACCCTGATCTATACACTTAAAAATTTCTGGTGCACTAAGAATCTGTACATAAACTTTGCATTCCCAGTTGAGAATTATGCTTAACAAAATCTCTTCTCCCAGCTTTTGCTCATATTGCTGTGCATACTGTTCACAATGTGGTTTGATTAACAGTAATTGATGCAGTATTTGGGCTGTTTACAAGATATGCTGTACTGTAAGTAGTAGACGACTTTTATGCTTGTTAATATTCTTCCAGACTCATGTTTATCCCCTTATTTCTCACTTTCAGCAGTGAGGAGCTTGCTAAAGAATCGATTCATCTTATAATTTTTGTAGCATTTTAAATTAAATATCAAGTTTCTTCACTGCTAGAGAAATGCCAAACTAAAGGAAAGAATAAAGCACTGAAGGGACCTGTAGCATTAGATCAAACTAGTTCCCAACTCTGAATTTGAGAAGCCAGGCAAAATATGTTATCACCATTTCTGTGGCAGAAGAAAGTTGGTAAATTTTCTACATGCTCTGACCAGCAGGCTGTATAGCTCCTGCAGCTCCAATTGTTTCTCTAGGAGACAGGGGAATTAGAAAACAAAGCACAAATAGGCATTAGCGTTAAGAAAAGCAACATTCCTAACTGCAAAAGATTCTGACACTGAGTGACTCAAGATTTATCCAAGGGATGTAGGTAAGTCTTAAGCTTGGGCTGCTGAAATCTGGCATTGCAAAATATTACAAAGAAACAAGAAGCCCCATCATGGCCAAAAGTGTTGATGCTCCTGCCTTTCTCCAGGAAGCTCTGCCCTGCAATGCACTCATGTATTTATAAAGGAAAATAAATTGTACCAAAAAATGCAATGAACAACAAGAACATGACATGTGCACGTATACCGTGCCTGCTTTACTAACATGTCTCAGATGCTGGCTTTGCTTGCTTATGGCTGGAGTTCTCCATGTCTTCTGTGCTGAGTTTTGCATTGTGCTTTCCACAGAATCTAAGTTATACAGAACCTGTGTGTGTTCTGCAAGGAGTAAATTCAAGACTAGACCTGCAGTATCAATCGCATTCCTTAATTTCCAGGCAAAAAGTATATGAAACCGAAATCAAGAGAATCAGCTGCAACAAAGAAACTCATAAATGTCCAAACCCCAAGCATTAAAATGGAGTAACTCTTGGCATGTGAGGAGCCTCCCTGTGCTCTCTCTTATTGACTGCTCTGCAGACAGGAGATTTTCCATGTTATATGGTGTCAAGTGTATGAATGAGGACATGAATAACAGAAAAGCTGCAACATCAGTTTAAAGCATTTAAGAATTCTCTAATGTAATCCCTATGTGGTGTTGAAATCCAGTTTACTATCCTGTTTGCAGTACTCAGGGAAATGTAAGAACATTGGAACAAAGGTCAGGTTAGGGCCTTTTGCTTTTAATCTTGTCCCAGCTGTGCTAATCCCACACCATTTAAACCAGTCCCCAGTGGTGTGGAATTGCAGACCGGAGGAGAGGAAAGGAGGGGCACTGGTGGTGCCCCAGGTGCTCAGCTCAGTGTGTGTCCTGCAGCATCTGATCAAATCTGCTTTAGGCTTTGCTTTGGTTTTGAGTTCTGTAAAGGATGGAATGATTTGCTATAAAGAGTTTTATTCAAATGCTTCCATGGGGATTTGTAGTGATTGAAATGTGAGTCTGTATATAAAATGGGGAGATACATACTTCACCTGTATTTGTAGGTCAGTTTACTTTTTGGGGACTCTACGTGAAACTTTGTGTGCTTCTAACTGATAACATACTACAGTGTAATTGCATATTTATAGGTAGGTGTAAGTTTGATAGTCAGGATTATTTTAGTGTTCAACTCCCACTGATTTTAATGAGTTTAGTCATACTCTGTACAGCTGCGTGAAAAGAGCTAGGAATTAATCAGAAATTTTATCATATTACTATCTCTCATGGTATGGCATGAGTTAAAGCCTTAGGATTTTTATTCTTCTAGTTTTGAGGAACATTTAGTATTCTGAACATGACAATCTAATGTTTACTGTGAGAATAAGGACACAAGAGCTTTAAAAAATCCCCACATTTTTTGTAGTTGATGCTCCTTTGCAGTTATGTAGCTTTCACTGATGTTGATGGTTTTTCATGCATAGGTCTGCAAGTTTGTGCACACAAGTAGTGACACAGTAGACTGAGATGCCCATTGATGGTAGCTGTGTTCTACATTGTGGAACAGTCTTGGAAGATGCAATAGTCTGCTACAAGAGGAAAGGAAATAAAATCTTTTTGTTCCATCTTGAGGAACAGAAGAGAATAGAAAGCAATGTATTTAAAGTGCCTTGTCAGTATCAGATATTTTCTGACTGGCTTTGAGTTCTCTTACCTGGGCAAAACAATGAGCAGTTGAGAATACTCAAGCCTTTTTAAGAGGTCCTTAAGGCTAAAGAAATTAGAATCCGTGTGCCTGAACTGACTACTAGGTATTTTTCAAAGGTATCCTTATTTTAATTTCAGGTTTTCAGTTTCAGTCTTAACCTATAACTATGGAAAAAAAATCTGAAATTCTACTCAAGTGCAGATTCTGAGCTTCCAATGGCTCAACTATATTCCTCTGTGTGTTTTTTAACTGGTACTTGCTCACTGTTATGGTAAGGATCTGATTCACAGATTCAGGAGCCAAATTCAGTTTTGCAGTACCTGAGAACATCTGCCCAGATTCTGTTTGCAGCCATAATTAATAGAGCCCTTGTTGCTGGCTCCTAATGAAACCTGCAAATGATGCATGCAGGTTCATTCACAAGATATCCTCTGTGTGCTTCTTTAATCTTAATGTAGGTACAGAAAGCAAAAAAATGAAGATAAAATCTGATAGGGAGAGCAATGTTTGATAGTCCATGCAGACCAGCAAAACTTGGGGACCCTTGTCCACACACAATACAGAACAATCTATAGCTTGTTCCAGGTTGTTCCAAGAAACCCACTCATGCATCTCTTGTGAGCCAAAGGCAAAATAGCACTGCAGTGCTGCCTTCTGACAACCTTGGGCTGGTTCTGTACCAGATTTGACTCTCAGGATTTTGCAATACACTTTCAGATCCCTCAATTCTCAAGATAGCATGAAAGATTAGGAGTCAGAATCTGGACCTTACAGTTCAAAAAACATGGAAAGTTTATGTTTTTTTGCAGTCATTTTTCTAAGAAAGACCAAATCAATTCAGTGTAATCACCTCAGCCTAATCAATTCTTACAGAAAATGTAACATTTGTTGATATGAGAGAATTAACACATTTGCTGGTGTTGCTTGAGCAGAATTTTTATAATTTCAATGAAGCATTTAAAGCTCACAGTGGGATTGTTTTCTATCTCAGTTGCTTTTAGCAAGTGAGATAATATTGTATGCATTCACACTCTAGACAAGTGTCTTGTAAACAGCCTAAATGTGAATTTGAATAAATCAAAATATAGTCTAAATGTGTAACAATTATCTTTTTAGATGACAGCTTTTGGAGCATTCCTTCATAAAGGGTCCTTCTGCAGGAATTATTTTAATTTGCTGGATTTGCTGGTTGTGGGTGTTTCTCTGGTATCATTTGGTATTCAGTAAGTACTATACTTACAATGTGAATGATTCTTTTTTTTTTTTCTTTGGGGTTTTATACTAAAATCAGTGTTTTGGCTCCTTTGCTTTCCTTGTTGTGTGTGGGTGTGCAGGATCAGCATTCAGGGTTGGGACTAGTAGTGTTTTTATATATGGAATATGTTGTAGCTCATTACTGCTACAAACTAGAAACAAATTACTACTTCCAGTAATTACCAAGAGAACAAGGAAGAGCACCACGACATTGTATTGTATAGCAAGTAGCTCCTGGACCTATGGGGATAATTACCTTGGCAGTGTTTGAAAAGGAGAGAAGTTGTACCTTAATGAGGACTGTGCTAATGAAGAATTTTTTTTTTTTTTATATCAGGCTAAATATAATAAAAGAGCCTGAAGGTGCTTATTGATTCACTGAGCAGTTGTGCCTCATTTAAAATGATTTGTGAAACTTTTAGTGTCTTAGAAAAGAGCAAGGGCTGGGTGGCAGTCAATGTCTTCCCCCTATGTGTTCTGCTCGTACTAAGACATCTTACACAAGGTTTCAGTTTCACAGTTTGTTCTTTAAAAGGCTGTCTACTATTATTTCCTCAAAATGCAGTCCTTGGTACTCAAAGAGTATATAAGTCATTTGAGATCTTTTCATTTGCAGCTGGTTTGAAATGAAGGTATTCATTGATCTACAGAACTTACACAGTGTCTTTGACAGAGCTAGTCAACACTGAAAAATACCTTGGGTGACTGTTTTGCTTCTGACCAAATTAAATGCATTACAGTATCAGACAAGTTTCTGAGCTGTTAATTCCCAGATTGAAATAAAAATCTCCAGAAAACAAAATTATTCTTATGCTATATATGAGGCTGATACTATTTTGTAGTAATAATAAAGGATCGATAAAGAAATACTTTTAAAAAACTTGTGTATAACTATCTTGAGACTTTTTTGAGATTTCATATATAACAATGTTACAAGAACATTATTATTCTTAGTAATAAAATCTGTTACCTTAAAAGTAACAGCATAACTTTTTTTTCCCCCATAGATCAAGTGCTATCTCAGTTGTGAAGATCCTCAGAGTTTTAAGAGTCTTGAGGCCTCTAAGGGCAATTAACAGAGCAAAAGGACTTAAGGTGGTGTTTTTTTGTTGTGTGGGTTTGTTTTTGTTTTGTTTGTTTGTTTGTTTTTGTTGTTTTTGGTTTTTAAGTTCTATTTCTGTTGGCCTGGTTCTTCAGTCCTGCTGCAGGTTAAAAATTGTTGTGCAAGAAAGATTGCCTAGAGAAGTTCACAGGGCAAGGACATGAATTAGTTACCGCTTCTTAAACATACCAGGCCAGGTTCTGCCCAGAATTAGAGCAGTTTATATATGGAAGAACACCAGTGCCACAGAGAACAGATTTTGACTGGGATACTTGCCGTGAACCAACATGTCAGAACAACATTTTAACTGTTTTTCCATAATGCTTATGTAATTATCTTGATCAGTCTATGCCAACAGACTTATAGACAATTTAGAAAGTAAGTTTAATTATGACAGAAAGTATAATACTGACAACCCAAATAAAGTAATTAAAAAAAAAAATAATCTGAGTGTGATAAAATAAACTTTTACGGTATGTATTCTGTGATACCAAGTAACAAGTTGTATTAAAAAATATCTTTTTTTCTTTGTTTTTCTTTCTCTTTCTTTCCAGCATGTTGTTCAATGTGTCTTTGTGGCTATTAGAACTATTGGTAATATCATGATTGTTACAACTCTGTTGCAGTTCATGTTTGCTTGTATTGGAGTGCAGCTTTTCAAGGTAAGACACTCTCAAAATTAACACTACATCAAAGAAAGCAAAGATATGTTGACTTCTTGGTAACTTGCTGCTGGAACTGAGTTGGTCCCATTCTGAACCAATCACAGTATATATATGCTTGTTTTGCATATTCTTCATCTTGTCATTGCTTTTTGTT